CACGAAACCACGTTGAACTAACCCAAGACATGTACAAAGATAAGATCGATTATCAAACAGAACAACATAGTTCTTATATATACACCTATGATGAACAAGCTCCCAAATTTTAATAATATTTTCAAACTGTTCAATTGGTATAAGCTCTTTTACAAGTATTAGTGAAATGTCAATAGCCTCTTCTACAAATCCAGCATCATATAATTCAACATTATGTTCAATTTCATAAATTCGATGCTTATTAACAGGTTGTATAGTATACCAAATAGCCTGGGCCATTTCTTGGTGTTGTATTGAAAGAGCGGCAGGTGTTAAATACTCAGTTATTTATTTGTCAACTAAAGGAGAAAAGTCTTGACTTGCATGTATAAGTGTTAAGCCGGTTGTTGAATGAAACCAATTTCGATATTGAATAAAAGTAGATGCATCATTAAATTGATTGTTAATTTTTTTAGTAAGTTCTATAATTGATATATGACTATTGATGGTATTTTTTATTATTCCATTTGGTCTTCTACTCTTTAAGTACACTGCATTCCGGCTGTAAAAACTCGAGATATATAAGAAAGTACCTATCGTTGTTGATTACCTTTAAGCACTCTATTTAAATATAAAGCTGAATCAGGGTATTGTTCTATAAGTGAATTCCAGAGATGTTTAAAATTAGCTTGAGATGGTGTATTTCTTATTTGATACCAAGCCTTAGAAAAGTCTTTGTACTTAGTTCCTAACTTTGATTTTAAGTTCTTTATAAGATTCTGCCCGATATGATAAATACAATGTATATGATGGGTATTTGGCATTGTATTTGCAATAGCAGCATCAAAAGCAAGATCATTATCTGTAATTATAACTAGAGGATAAGCCTTTACTGTCTGAATAAATAAAGAAAATACCTACTCAAAACTCTCAGAAGTTTCATCGTTCGTTAACGTTTGTCTAACAATTCAAGTTCGATTGTTATTGTCAACAATTACTAAAAGTTTAAGTACCATTTTAAACCGATTCATAGAGTACGTATTATCATATTGAACAATGTCCTGATATTTAATATAAAGTTCATATTGATCGGGCATCATCCAAAATAGAGTTATCAAAAAATTTGTTGTTGCATCAACATGCCAGTTTACGATCCATCTTATATCTCCAGCTTTTTTTTTAAGGAGATAATTTATTAAAACAGAAGCTTCATTTTCAACTTGTTGCTCTCTTTTAAACCTCTGAATAGCGTTTGCCAAATCTTGAGATAAAAAAAATACATCCTCATACTTTGCTATAAGAAGTTGTCGTTGTGTATATGTGTTAATATTCCCTTTAGTTGTCCAAAATTCAATGTCCTCTAACATTGGTTCAGTTAATGTTTGGTGAGTTATAGCAAATTTATTGGCGAGAGAGTTTCTGGGATGATCGTTATGTTCTAAGGCAACTGATACGATACTAAGTATACTAGTCTTTTTGGGAAAAGTAACATTCACTGACTATAGACAGCCACTACGTTTAGACCGCATATTACGTTGTATTTCTGCAATTGCCTTCTTTTTACTTTTATATTGGCCTTGATATTCACACCAGTATCGGCAGCATCTTCGTATCCCATTATCATATTCAGTACCATAGATGATTTTGGAAAAATTCTGAGAGTTACAATAAGCATCAATATATCTGTCAATTTGTTCTCATGATTCGAATTGCATTCCAGATGCTGGGACTTGAATTGTAGATGACTCAAACACATTTATCAGGCATTCTGTCATTAGTTCAGATGCATTATCTGTTTGATTATATGTTAGAAGTGAATTTTTACTTTGTTCTATCAATTTTATGTTAAGTTAGTAAGAATTCTTTGTGCCTAATATGCTCTCAAAAAAAGTGTATTACCTGATAATAGTTTATTATATGTGAATAGTATTAGATCAGATAGAATTAAAGGTGATCCTTTATTTTGTAGAATTTATTGTCATATGAAATTGGTAAGCGAAATATTCTTCACATTTTAACATGCTAAGTATTATCTGATAGTTCATTATATATGATTAGAGATGGTTCTGATGATATTAAATCTTCATTTTGTGCTATTTATCATTAGTTGATGTAAATTAATAAAAAAATATTTATTTATATAACTATTTATTGTGTATGATTAAAGTAAATCACAATAAATTAAAGCAAACCTTTTCTTTATGCTGTTAAATCATTAGATATGGATTAGTAAATATATGTACCATAATATAATATTGAGTAGTTCAATAAAGTGATAAAAACTACACATTACCTGACATCTCGTTATATATATCTGGAGTTGACAAATTGTATGAAATTAAACAATCGCCTTGTGTTATTAAACCTTTTCGAACAAAATTGGTAACAATTTAATGTTTTAATATGCCATAAACTAGTTCAACAAACGATCAAAGTCATTTATTATCTGGTGCTTCATTAGAAAAAATTGGTGATGGAGGATCAAGTGACAGATTACGTGATGCTAAAAACGAACCTTCATTTTGTTCTATTAGCCCTTCTTGAAAACAAAAGCAGAACCGGTAAACATTCTATGTCTAAATGTGCTACCAACCAATTTAATAAACTTATTAAATCATTACTTAATATTTCATTATAAAAGGTTGGAAGTGGCGAATTGGGTAAAATTATTCCTTTACTTTGTGTCATTAAGCTTTAGTGATTCAATTAATTTGGTAAGTAAAAATACTCATAGCTTCTAAGCATACTGCTAACTTATTTAATAATGAAATAAGATCTATGTTACCTGAAAATAAATGAGCGAATTTGAATAGCGAAAAAAAACTTGTTACCTTGTAATGTTTGTTTTGTTGATCATACTGTTACAAGTTGAGAACACGCAAAAAAAAAAAAAAAGCGTGGTTCAAACTCTCATTCACTGTATTGAATAGTAAAGATTGCAATGAGATATTGTAATGGTCAGTTCACAAAGTAACTATTGGTGTTAGCATTAAAGCATACCAATATCAATATCTTGCTCTGTAAAGAAAATTTAGACTATATTATACTATTATATACCAATATGTACATACATACGTACGTACATACATATGTATATATATAAATAGTTATACAAAGTGGCTATATGTAGCCAGTGGCTATACATAAATTATTTCTAATATTTAATATAACTATATTTATTTATAATAATCATATTTAACTCTTTTCGCTAATCTATAATTTATAACAAATTTTTAATCCAAATCAATAATTTATGAAGAAACTATTATAGAAAACAAAGTCTCTTGTACTAAAGAAAAAGAAAGAGTACTTAGAATAACTCTTAGTTTATTAAAATAGTTTTTTACAAAAACTTTAAGGCTAGCAACAAAATAAAGACTTCTAAAAAATTTTCGAAAATTTTTAGAAATTTTGAGAAATTTGCTTAGACTTTAAAAATTTGAGGATATTCTATAGAATAGGTAGGCAATATAAGAAATAAGCTTTGCTAATATAGTAATTATTAATTTTTTTAATAGCAGAATCACAGAGTTTGTGAAGTTTGTCTACCTATTTTATAGAATATTTAAATTTGATCTTTGTAATATATAAACAAACAACAACAAAACAAATACATAAAATCAGATAAATAAATAAACAAATAATAAATCGCATTGCTACTTTTAGATATAACAAAAATTATAAATCAACAATTATATATATGATTAGTAATAATAACAACAAAACAAATACTACAGATATGATCTATAATAACAAATAGAAGTAGAATAATCTAAAAATATACTATAGTAAACATAGAATCTATAGCAACAGATTAGAATCTAATATCAAAAAATACTTTAAAGTTTAGTATTTATATAAAGATGATAAAAATAAACTTTCTAAATTTTATTTGAAGCAAAAGTATAATTGTAATCAAGTATATGCTTAATAATTTACTTAAAAAACTATTAAACAAGTTATATTTAGCAATCCTAGCAATATCGAGCATATAGCCAAGACACTAACAATAGAAGACAAAAACAAGATTATATCAATAAAAGTATTAGTATATAGATGTGTAGTTGAGGCTTTACAAAGAACCGAATCTAGAAGATGCCTAGAAAAGGAGATTGAAAAATAGACAGAAAGAGCAAGATGAGTTAACCAAAACTTCAAGTTTATTAAATATATAGTAAAAATAAGCAAATAAGAAATCAAAAAAGAAATAAACAAAATAGAAGGTATAATGAATATTAAAGAAAAAGAAAAAACTATAGCAGTAGAATTAAAAAAGCATAGACAAGATGAAGACTCTAAAAAAATTTAACAAAAAAAGAGATAACCATAGAAAATTTTTCACAACAAGTAGAAAGTATAGATATAAATACTGAAAGTAAATATGAAAAAACA